AAATGTCTTTGCATTAGTATCAGTGATGACTGATTGATATCCGTCCCTATATTTGACCTTTTGTTTATTGGATTCGAAACTCAGACTTGTTTAGAACTAGAATCAGAATTAGATTCAGAATCGATACCCAACCCAGCCACCACATCTCACAGCAAAGTCGTCCGAACACTGGGACAGCGTTTCCAGCTGTAGCTGGTGCACCATACAGAGCGGCCAAGGCTAATGTTAGCTAACCAGTTTCTTCATGTTAACGCTGCTAACCAGCTATAAATCAGCAGAGCCAACAGACAATAAAAGACAAAACATTTACATTACAAAACATTAAAATGTCACCACCAGTCAGTGGAGCGCTAGACAAAAAGAAAAGGCGTCTTGTGTTTCACCTCATTTTGCATTTCTTTCTTTAAAAATGTGTCAGTTACCAGTTAATGTTATCAAAAGCATTTATTAACCAAAACTGACATCCTGAGTTCAGATATTTTGAAAATTGGCACCAACCATGCTTTGACCACGACTGTTAATATAAATCGAAAATGACAGCGGACCGAACACAGAACCATGGGGTTCACCATTACAAGTGTTAGGCCAGTTAGAGGTGTTAACGTGTGATTGTTTTTAGTAGTATTTCAGGGCATTGCGTTTCTTTTGTTATTAGCACAAGCCTATGGCATTTTACATTGTATAAATTAGCCTAGCAGCTAGCAGAGATTTCCTCTCCTCATATTTCAGCCAGGATAAATCACACACAGTGTGTGGAGGCTTTATTGTCTTCACAATTTATTGTTTCTTATCTGTGAAATTAAAGTAAATCAAAGCTTTGTTTCCACTGAGGGAAATGGTTTCAGCTAACAGAGACAGACAGGAGGTCTGCGTCACTGTGACACTGTGGAGTTACATTTCTGGGGAGGTGCACGTCAGGCTACAGCTCTAAAAAGTGTTGTTGGAGAACTTGTGAATGAGTGAGGGGGAGCTGTGCGGAGAGTGTGGTAAGAGTCATGTAACGCAACTTGATCCTACATCGATATAAACGGTGTCTAAATTTATATCTTGCATGAAAATATATCGATATATCGCCCAGCCCTTCGTCCAGCTTCACAACAACATTTCATGACTCATCCAAAACTTTCAAGGATTTTACTGATCTGTTCACTTTTCCAGACCTGGAAAACACAACTGTGAAATTCCATGACATTTCCAGGGTTTTCCATGACCATGGAAACACTGCTGTTCTGAATGAGAATAAATGCTCTGTCTCCTGCTCAGGTTACATCACAACTTTATGTAAGTTCCATATATATATGTATATACAGTACGTGCACAGTCAGGACGTATGTGTCAACAACATCAACACACACACACACACACACACACACAGTTTCTGCCTTTAGAAAAAATAAGAATACAGTGCACATTTGAAATGCCTGCAGCAGCAGCATAGAAGTGCCTATTATGAGCCATTATAGACAATTTGAAGTCATTATGAGCACTCCTCGGTGTAAATGGGTATCATTGTGTGAAATGCTCTGGCATCTTACAGGCCTGTCCAACTGTCAGAAATAAGTAGAGAGGAGAGGAGGCGAGTGGCAGAGAGCACGGATGAAGGAGGAGAGAGAGACATGACAGAAGACAAAGAGAGAGAAATTACCAAAAGTTGACAGAGAGAAAGAGATGCAGAAGAAGAGGGAGTTAAGAGCTGTGTCATTATCGTCAATAGCCGCCCGGGCTGGGTTATTGTCTAACTGATCAATGTGAGATAAGAGTCGAGCTCGGGTCAATCACACACTCTCAAGGCCAAACAAAAAACAATCGAGCTCCAGTGTGAAACCGAGCCGCCGCTGCCGCCGCCACAGCTGTATATTGTATCTGTGAAAGTTTCCTGGTGTTTGTCGTGGACGGATTTAATGGGTGTCCAAGGGCAGACAAACACGAGCTGTTAATGCCCGAGCAGCTGTAGATGAGCTGCCCTCACTGCTCCGTATCACGGCTCTAACAACCACAACAGATTGCAAACAGGAGATGCAGCGACGCCACATAATGTGTCATGAAATTAACCAAAATACCAGCAGGATGGTGCGTTTAGTGTCTCGGTATGTTCTGTTCCCGTCCGTCTGTGGTGCGGCTCTCAGCGAAAAGAACAGAAGCTTTTAGTGTAGATATGAACAATACAAGGAAATAATCTGACGCCCTGATCGCACAGGAAGTGTTCTGCTGGGTGCAAAACTTTTTTTATCTATTGTCACTGGTAAAAAAAACACCTGCTCACCCTAACCGTCCTGTGTGGTCAGTCTACAGTTTGTGTATCCTGCAGTAATAAGTGTGTAGCTGCTGCCATGTTGAGGCAGAGGGTGCTGTCTGTAGCTCTGGTTGAGGGTGAGAGGCTGTCAGCAGATAAACAGAGATCTGTGTGGGTACATGAGACCCTAAAAAAGAGGCTGGATCATGGGGAGTACCACCAGTTGGTCCAGGAGCTTCTCCTCCATCATGGACGTTTACAGTACTGCACTTATCTGCTGTTTTCTATTGACATGGTGCTAACTGTGCTTTGTAAAGTCGTATAGCTCTGGGTATCCAGCAACCACTACCACCAGTTTCTCCTCCATTGGTTACCAGCTGTGAACTTGTTGTCATGACCACCACAGAAGCCCTGCCTCTCAAATCATCCCATTGGACGATGGGAAAAAGAGGGGCACTTTTCCGCTCTGAGTTGAAGTTTTTTCAACTCGAGGAGTTCAGAGCGCTCTGGCAAACTATTACCAAATGTTTCAAAGCAAAATGAACCAAAGCTGACATCCTGAATCTTTCTACGACTGGACCAGAGCAAAATTACACAAACTAAAGTCCAGTGGGGCCAAAACCACGTGAAATGTACACAATGTTCACGTGTGATTAACGCATGAAACTAGCTAGCTTCCACCTGACCAGGCTGATGCGCAGCAAAGAGCGGCTAATGCTAACGTAAGCAAACCAGTGGAGACTGGAGGATGGGCGGCGGGCGCCATGTTTCACATGTTAACACAGCTAGCCGGCTGACTGTTAGCAAAACCAACAGGAAATAAAATAAAAGGTAAAACATTTACATCACAGAACATTAAAACGTCACCTTCTCTTATCGGACAGAGCTTTGAACGGAGCGCCGCACTAAAAGGGAAAGCCTCCTGTTTTTTTTATCTCATGTTACATTTTTTTTCTTAAAAAATTAACCAGTTAGTTACTGGTTAATAAGTGTCGGGCTGCTGACAACAAAATGTTGTTCTGTTTTGTTTATTTTTGTTGTTCCCTGTGAAGCGTCTTTCAGTATCTGTATTATTATTATTATTAACGACAACCTGGTTATGATGAAATGAGATTCAGTGATATGATACAGCTGTGATATTTATTTAGCTCTTAAATTATAAAACTTTTAATCACAGCAGAATATTATAACAGGTGATCTGTGGCAGTAATAACACCCCTGGAGTGAACATTACTGTATGAAAAATAAATATGTCAATATAATGATTAGCGATGTTCCTGGTGACTAACCAAATTTTAATTAAGACTCATCAATGAGTCTAAAAAAGTAAAACACTCACAAAACAGTCAAAATTTATCACAATTTATTGTTAAGCGTTTGAAATTGTCCCAAAACATATTGTGTGCATTCAGAGCGCGGGAGGGGGACTGCTGTCTGATGGCCCTGTAGCACCCACTAGTGGCGGGACGCTGCATGACAGTTTAGCAGCCTTGTACATGAATAAACACTAATCGCACACATCCCTAATAATGTCAACGGTGCACCAAACACAGTCTATCACATCCAAAGACGATGCAAGTTTTTAGTTTGTCACAAAGACTGGAGATATTACAGCGTCACTGTTGACAGAGTACAACGAGACTTTTTTATTCTGACAGAGGAAATGTGTCGGTGACAGTGACATCACCCAAGAAGTCCTTTAGTTTGAGGTCGTCTTCAGAGGTGCAGCAGCTCTCCGTAAAACTGTGAGACGACGTCAGAGCGCCTGAAAGGACAAAGATGATGTCTGCTCGTCCTGTGACATTTGACCTTCTGCTGCGTGTGTGTTCACAGCTGCGGTCACCTTCACACACACACACACACACACACACACACACACACACACACACACATGCACACACACACACACTACAGCGTCACTGTTATGGATGTCTGAGCTGACACTGGATGAGCACGGGGACTCAGTGACACTATCCTTCGTTCATTCATCACACTGCAGCTTGTTGGGTTTTTTCAGGTGCTTTAACTTGTGTTGCTTTGCACCAGAGGCACAAGTGTGATGCACATGATGTGTTCCCTCCTTAATTCAAACACTTCCAGGATGCGGCTGCAGAGTGCGTATGACGCGGCGTGGTGGCTTTTCAGCAGTGGAGGCTGCGGTTGGTTTAGGGAGCGCTTGATTGGATATGTAGCAGAGTTTTCTCTGAGCAAAGCACACAGTCAGTCATGTTTGTTTAAATGTGGGACGATAAAATCCTGATCGATTAATACTGATTAAACTGTGCAGCTGTGTCTGAGAGTCAGAGACATGTTTCATACGATTGTCTTCACACTGCTGCAGAACCACAGACTGCTAACGGAGCGTTCCTGCTCCTCACTTCTATTTATTTTACTCCTTTACGTCCTGAAACATCGTCCCAGTTTTCAGAGTTATTGCTCTGAAGAAACAATAACTTTACTCTGAACTAGAATCCGTCTGTAGTGATTTATTATCTGGATTTATCATTTGATTACTTTACTTGATTTTGTCAAGACGATACGTGGTTTATCTGTGAATTAAAAATTGATTTATACAAGCAGCAGTGTCCTCCTCCTCTTCCTCCTCCTCCTCCTCCTCCTCCTCCTCCTCTGGTGGTGTGTGCACACTGAGGCCTGGGGGATTTAACCGTTGGCCTCTATGTGATGAATCTCTTCAGTGCAAACACAATATTTACTGTTAATGAGGCCGACTTTCACAGAGACAAAGTTTCCATGTGTGTCCTCTCACATGAATCAGTTCAATCAGCTCAGGCTGCACCTCTATCACTGCACCTCCATCACTGCACCTCTATCACTGCACCTCTATCACTGCACCTCCATCACTGCACCTCCATCACTGCACCTCCATCACTGCACCTCCATCACTGCACCTCCATCACTGCACCTCCATCACTGCACCTCCATCACTGCACCTCCATCACTGCACCTCCATCACTGCACCTCCATCACTGCACCTCCATCACTGCACCTCCATCACTGCACCTCCATCACTGCACCTCCATCACTGCACCTCCATCACTGCACCTCCATCACTGCACCTCCATCACTGCACCTCCATCACTGCACCTCCATCACTGCACCTCCATCACTGCACCTCCATCACTGCACCTCCATCACTGCACCTCCATCACTGCACCTCCATCACTGCACCTCCATCACTGCACCTCCATCACTGCACCTCCATCACTGCACCTCCATCACTGCACCTCCATCACTGCACCTCCATCACTGCACCTCCATCACTGCACCTCCATCACTGCACCTCCATCACTGCACCTCCATCACTACACCTCCATCACTGCACCTCCATCACTGCACCACCATCACTGCACCTCCATCACTGCACCTCCATCACTGCACCACCATCACTGCACCACCATCGCCGCACCACCATCACTGCGCCTCCATCACTGCACCTCCATCACTGCACCACCATCACTGCACCTCCATCACTGCACCACCATCACTGCACCTCCATCACTGCACCTCCATCACTGCACCACCATCACTGCACCTCCATCACTGCACCACCATCACTGCACCTCCATCACTGCACCTCCATCACTGCACCACCATCACTGCACCTCCATCACTGCACCACCATCACTGCACCTCCATCACTGCACCTCCATCACTGCACCACCATCGCCGCACCACCATCACTACGCCTCCATCACTGCATCTCCATCACTGCATCTCCATCACTGCGCTGATGTCACACAACCATGACTCAGGTATATTCTGAAGTTGTAACGTCAGTGGTTCAAAGTTCATCTGTTAACCTCAATGAATATGTCAGAGTCATTACTCATCAGTCTGGAGGTTAACGTACACCTGCTATTCTTCAGTTTACTGTGCACCACCTGGTGTTAGCAAAGAGCCACGGAGATTGTTAAATACTTATTTTAGATCCTGGTTGTAAAAATAACGTTAGCCTTGTGTTCACAGTTACCTAGCGCAACTTTCACCACAGTTTATTTCAGAGGGACGCTCTGAGGAGACGTGCTCTTTGTTTAGATGATCAAACAGACGATGGAGCATAGATACTTGTTTCTGGCTGCAGCGTTAACTAGCTGAAATGTTGTCACGAAACCACCGGGAAAATCTGACAGGTGTCCTGACTCTGAGCTCCTAAACAGCCTCCATCAGACCGGCTGACCCAGGCTGTCATCTGCTCCTCCGCTAGAAGAACCAGAGGGAGGGCAAGACGTCAGCAGGTCTGTCTGCGTTGCTCCAGCGTCCACACAACCCTGGATGTGGAGCCGTGGACTTTGTCATTTATTTCCCCGGAGGTTTCATGTCCCTGTCCTCCCGACATTTTCATATTAACACTCAACAAAGTACCAACAGATGGCAACATTTTTTTAATCGACATTTTGAAGTTGAAATAGACAATTCTTCAGCTAACATAGTTAGCATGCTAGCTGCGCTAGCTAATGATGGCAGCCAGAAACAAACAACTACGATTCATTGTTCGTTAACTGCGCTATAATTTAAACAAAGAACACATGTTCTCATAGTGGCCCTTCTAAAATGAGCAGTAGTTGAAGTTACTATATTCCATTATGATCGGGGAGTTGATACGCAGGCGCTAGGTAGCGCTAGCATAGCTAGCTAGTTGAAATATTGACTACTCCCACCACTGTGAAGTGATTGGCTTAATTAAGAACATATCAGTGTTTGACTGACAGGGGATTGTGAGCCTCTGATTGGCTACATTCAAAAATAATTGACAGATACCCCGCCCTCCTGCGCATGTTAAAACAGTTGCTCTGCAGCTCTGCAGGTGGGTGATATGGGAGCTAGCTAGCAGCCCCGCTTGTTTGGAAATTTACTGCTACTAATGCCGTCCCAACCCGACACCGCTGCTATGGAATCATTGTGCCCACCCTCCGGTCTACCCCCAGGTTCACTCCGGTGAGTGATCAACTCAGTTTTGAACCTCAAACCCCCTTTAGCATTGTGGACTGAGGGCGAGATCACTGATGAAACGCCAGTATTTCACACCTGTGTAAAATGATATAAAATCACTGAAACATGAGGAAGATGAACAGGTTGACCCTGAAATTAAGTTTCTATGGAAAACTGTAACTAGACTCTAGAAAAGGGTAACGTATTAAATAAAGATCAGAGGTCACAGTAACGTAACACTAAATAAATCATACTGAATAATGAGCTTAGTTTCAAGACACAAACGTGGAAGTTTTTTTTTTTTTAGGTGTCTTGGATGTTGAGGATTTCTTGACCTCCTGTTTTCCACTCGCTGCCTCTCCCTCCTCTCTCAGCGTCTTTCACACTCTCTCAGTAATCAATCTGCGGTGCGTTCGAGGAGCTGCAGCTCTGGGAGAGTCAAAAGGTTCAAGGTGTTAAATAGCAGACAAAAACAAGAGGAAATCTGATTCTCAAAGCACAAGTCTGGCTGCAGCGAGTCCTGGCAAACACTCCAGACTTTATAATCTCCATTTTCATTCAAGTCCAGAAAATATCCAAGAAAACTCTCCGAGGGCTCCGAGATTCTCATGATGACGCAACCAGCTGGTAAAGAAGGGCGAAGATACAGCAGGAGGTGAATGTTGGGAAAAATCGTGTGAACGCACTGACATGAAACACATGTTGATATCATTCTTTGTGACTTCTCTTCATCTCTGACATCCATCCAGAATAAAACCTCCATAAATCATCTTAGAAATGAGAGACAGAACAGTCGTCATGTTTTAGTGTCAGGTGTTTGTACGTCCGTGGATACAAACAGGAGCTGATCACAGATCAGTCAGCTCACTGTGAACGGAGTCACTTCGTAAATCTGGTCGACAAAATGTAAACAAACAACAAATATGTAACGTCGTCAAGTTACATATTTATCGTAAAGTTAGATACTTAGCATAAAGTAATGTAGGTTGGGTTTAGGAAAGTAAAATTACGTAGGTTAGGATAAGGTAAAGACACATGGTTGAATGGTATCACGTTACATATTCAACGTAAAGTTAGATACTTAGCATAAAGTAACGTAGGCTGGGTTTAGGAAAGTAAAATTACGTAGGTTAGGATAAGGTAAAGACACATGGTTGGATAGTATCACGTTACATATTCAACGTAAAGTTAGATACTTAGCATAAAATAACGTAGGTTGGGTTAAAGTAAATTTTTGTAGGTTAGGATAATGTAAACAAGCACAGTTGGGCATCATCCAGTTATGTAACTAATGTCAAGTTACATAGTTATGGTTTTTGAAAATAAAGTTACGTAGGTTAGGTTTAGGAAAATAAACATGATTGGGCGTCATCATGTTACGTATTTCATAAAATTACATACTTAACATAAAGTAACATAAGTAAGGTTTAAGAAAGTAAAATTACGTAAATTAGGATAAGAAAAAGAAGCACAGTTGGGCGTCATTGCATTATGTAAATAACATAAGGTTACATACTTTTGGTTTACAAAAGTAAAGTTACATTGCTTTGGTTTAGGTAAAGAAGCATGGCTGGGCATTGTCACATTATGTATTTAACGTAAAGTTACGGAGGTTAGGTTAAAGTGAAGAAGCACGGTTGGACATTGTCACGTTACGAAGGTAACGTAAAGTTACGTACTTCATATAAAGTTAAGTAGGTCAAAATAAAGTAACATAGGTTAGGTTCAGCACAATAACGGTTAGGCGTCATCGCGTTATGTAGTTAACATAAAGTTACATAGTTGGTTTAAATCCTATCTGTCTGATCGATCCTTTTCTGTGGCTGTTGGCCCTCATAAATCAGAGTTTGCCCCCCTTTCTTGCGGGGTGCCCCAAGGTTCAGTGCTTGGGCCTATCCTCTTTACGCTATACATGCTCCCTCTCAGAGATGTCATCAGCAATTTTGAAGGTATCTCATACCATATGTATGCAGATGACCTCCAGTTATATTTTTCTTTTAACCCTGATAGGACCGATGGAATTGACTCACTGTACGATTGTATGAATGTAATTAAGGACTGGATGGCTTCTAACTCCCTTCAGTTGAACGCAGCTAAAACTGAGATTTTAATTATTGCACCTGACGCCTCAGCATCTAAAGTGGCCAGCTGCTTAGGGTCCCTCAGTGCAAATGTGCGCCCCAAGTTGAGAAACCTTGGGGTCACATTTGATCAGGCCATGCTCTTCGATGACCACATCAAAACTGTCACTCGCTCCTGCTTTTTCCACCTCAAAAACATTTCCAAACTCAGATCCATGTTAACTTATTCCGAGCTAGAAATGATCATCCATGCTTTTATTTCCTCACGTCTGGATTACTGTAATTCTCTTTTCACCTGTCTAAATAAAACTTCATTAGACCGCCTCCAGCTGGTCCAGAACACTGCCGCCAGGCTTCTGTCCAGATCTCATAAGTTCACTCACATCACTCCAGTCCTGGCATCCCTGCACTGGCTCCCTGTTAATTTCAGAATCCAGCACAAGATTCTAACCATCAATTACAGAGCCCTCCATGGTCAAACAACTGCATACTTGAAGGATCTGGTGTCATTTCACTGTCCTGTCAGGTCACTGCGGTCCGCTGAAGGCCACCTACTTACTGTAGGTGGCCTATATGCTATATAAATAAATTTACTTACTTACTTACTTACTTACATAGTTGGTTTACGTAAGTAAAGTTACGTTGCTTTGGTTTTGGAAAATATGCATGGTTGGGTGTCCTCAAGTTACATATTTATCATAAAGTTACATACTTAACAAAGTGACGTAGGTTAGGTTTATGCAAGAAAAATCAGGTAGTTTGGATTTAAGTTTATAAAGCACGGTTGGGCCTCATTGTGTTTTGTACTTTGTAACAGAAAGTTTCGAAAGTTAGGTTTAGATAAGTACAGTTATGTTGTTTTGAATTCAGAAAAGAAGCATGGTTGGGTGTTGTCACGTTACGCATTTAACATAAAGTTACGTAAGTTAGGTTTAGGAAGGTAAAATTATATAGGTTAGGACAGGGTAAAGAAGTACGGTTAGGTGTCATTGTGTTACGTACGACGTGCTGACGTATTGCGGTAAGCGAGTTGTGTCATTTCCGGTGTTTCTGTGACAGTGTCTCTGTACTGCTCTGGTGGATTCTACTAGCCTGCTTTCTCACTTCAGTTGCTTTAACATTGCTTTAACGTCTACTTGAAGTCTTAACCCACACTGGTTCTGTTTAAGCACTTATAGCTCTCCTCCTTTCTACGACTTTCTCGCTAATCTCTTAGCTATTGTTTGCACGTTACTAGCCTTGGTAGCTACATTAGGTTTACAGTTAGCGATGGCTTCTCCTTCTGCTCTTTCTTGCTCGGTGTGCCAAATGTTCAGTTATGCCTCTGTCTCCTTTAGCGACAGTGGTAACTGTAATAAGTGTAGCTTATTTGCTGCGTTGGAGGCGAGGCTTAGTGAATTAGAAGCGCGGCTCCGCACCATGGAAAACCATTCAGTAGCTGCGGTAGTTAGCCAGCCCCCTGTAGCCGGTGCGGAGCCACATAGCATAGCCTTAGCCTCTGCTAACTGTCCTCCGGTAACTCCCGTTCAGCCGGGAGGTTGGGTTACGGTTCGCCAGAAGCACAGCTCCAAGCAGAAGCCCACGGCTCACCACCAGCCTGTTCACGTTTCCAACCGCTTTTCCCCACTCAGCGACACACCCGCTGAGGATAAAACTCTGGTTATTGGCAGCTCTATTCTGAGGAACGTGAAGTTAGCAACACCAGCGGCCATAGTCAAATGTATCCCTGGGGCCAGAGCGGGCGACATTGAAT